GCCAGGATGGTGGAAGGCAAACTGGACAGACCATAATCTTCTTTCGACTAACAATTCTTATGTTCATATGTTTTTCTTATGTTCAAACTGATCTGTTACAGTAGATCAGCTCAGATTAAAAGTGGATGTAACTGAGGATAAGAAAATGCTTAAAAATACTGAATGCAATATAATAATAAGACTACTAATAATAACTCTGACTAGTTAAGACATTTGTGCATATATTTAGCTTCAATATAGATCAGGGCTTGATCTTTGGTCGAAGCAGAATCATGAAGATAAATGTTACACCACATTTCCGCACTAAGCGGGTTACCAGGGATCCATATTCATCAATAGAATTGGCTGTGAACTGGGTTACAAGGGTATATCGGGGAGAGCGGGGAAATGCTTTCTGTTCGAGTTATGCAAATATTAATTTTAGAGAAAATAACATTCAACAATGGATACAAAATATGTGCTTCTGTGCAGGGAGTTTCTGTGGAATGGCGACAATATTAATTCCAGATCTGTTCATTTTCTTTAAAATATTGAAATAGGTGAAACGGCAAACGGATTATTGCACGTGTCTGTCTGTCTCTCTAATGCTGAAACTAACATATGAAAAATGTACTTATTGATTTTCTGTTTGCTGAAAGTCGACCATCTCAGTAGTAATCCTGAGGTTTGTTATGGAGCTTTTCACATCAAGGAGATGTGTCAAAGCACTTCAACAGTTTGGTAAGAAGGCAAAAGGACCGAAGAACCAAACGCATAACAACACAGCACAACCCCAGCAGAGCATTGGAGTGTATTTCACAAACATCAACTCCATTATTGTCAAATTCCGATGTGGATTTAAGCACAAAAACCTCTGTCTCAAGTGGTTGCACATGTTGTTTGCTGCCACGTCAGCAAGACGTCCCAAAGCCTTTCACAGTTTAAACTGTGAAGAGGAGTCTGGGCCAACACAGCAGCCCAACTGCCCACAGCTGGGATTTGGGCTTCATGGCCTCCCACTGTGGTGCTGCTCAGATTGTCAGCTCAGCACAGGCAGGAGATGAAGCTCTCTGCATATATCAAACACATTGCACACTCACATTGTGCTATAAATACTATAACACAGAGCTGCGTGTTACTATATTAGAATAGCCATGTGTCTGAAGCTGTATCTGGGTGTGGAGCTGATCACTGGGGGACAGAAGCAGCTGCTGGTCACTGGAGCGGAGAAGCAATTCAAGTGCAAAGATTTCGCCCATTAATTGTTCCAGTAAAACCCGAACTGAAGTCGGACAGTTCATTCAACAGCTTTTGTTTAATGCTGAGCTTCTGTGAATCTGAACAATTTGGAAATCATAAGTCAAGGCGGCATTGACACAAAGGGAACAGGAAAGACACAGATCAAACAGCTCAATAACTTTTATCATTTATTGATACTTCGGACAAACAAATATAGAGAATCTGTAGGCATTATGGAATAGGATCGGATCACAAATACTCATCTTCAGAATGAAATAAAAGGACAAAATATAACAGCCTCTGTCTTTCTGTATCATTACACCACACAAATAGTAAACAGCAAATAAAGAATATCAGAGAGGTGTGACAGTACATGAAATAACAATGTGAAATGTTATTAACAAAAGGCAGATTGGGAAATAATCCAACAATAAGAAAAGTCACTAAAATCTACGTAGTTGCACAATACAATGTTTACTTCCAATGAATTAGATCAATCGGTGAAACAGGACATCACATACTCTGTCACAGGACATTGACGATAAACACAAACAGACGAGGAACATCGGTGAAGCTGATGGTAATAAACTCATTTTAACTGGAAAATAAAAGTAAAGATATGATGAATAATTTCAGCCTGGGAGGAGATTTAGTATTTCAGATTGTGTTTATTTGTGTATATGAATGTCCACACATACCCCCCCACCACCCACAAACAAACACAATCCCAACTGATACTGTGTCAGTGGGTATTGGTCTGTCATTGCCTTATACAGGCAGAAACCCTTCGCTTTCAAGTCTCCACAATATACTGAAAGATCCACAAGATCAGTAAATGAGCCTCGCTCCTTGCCTGCGGCTATACCAGGTGAGCATATGTCAGGTGTGATAGGGTGTGTAATGGTGAGAGGATATGTCCATCACCCTCACACAGCTTGGTCACACGGATCCTGTCCTGTGGGGACAGGGGGAGTTTCCCAACACAGTGGCTGCAATGAGCTTCACCATCAGTTCCCGTGGAAGAATTATTTACCGGCAGCTGTTACATCAGATCATAGTGTCAATGAATTTCCTCTCCCCACCTTAAATAGAGTGACCGTGGCACTGTAGAAAATACTCAGGAAGAAGAGGATGATGAAGGTGGAAGCAGTCGGCCAGAGGTTGCCACTTCCCTGTTGTTGAAAACCTTCCAGCATCGTCTCGGTTGGGAAATCTGTGAGGATAAAAAAAAAGAAATATATTCAGAGGGGATTGAAAACTGAGACTTCTTCTTTTCCATCTTGATTATTAATGTATATAAAGTTTCCCAGTTGATCATGGGCTTCCTCCCTCCCTTCAAAACTTCTAATTTTAAGAGAGATGAAGAAGTAATTTATTTTAGTGTTTGTACATTTGTTCCAAGAATTATTGAATCCAGAGAAGAATTTGGGAAACACGTTGAGAAAATTAAACTTGTGGAACTACAAAAGGTGGAAATCCTCCCATTGAGACGCTTCTGGTAGAAAATGGCAAATCTGTTCCAATGTTCCAATTCCACCTTTCTGCTGTTGTTTTGCATTTTCATTCCGTGACTATTGAAATGCTGTTTCAAATTCCTTTACATTATGGTGTTGTGGTCAACAATCCTATATTCAAAAAGTCTGCTGTGTGAAGTTGGCTGCCATGTTTTGCCCACAAAATACAGTCAATTCACTTTACAGTATGTTTTGCGAAGCGCTTTGAGACGTCTCGAAGACATGAGAAGGCGCAACATCAAATGCAAGGATTATTATTATTTATCTCTGTATAAAAATCGACGCTTACTTTATATTTCGCAGTGACTTTCCTGGATGTTTTATCCCGTTTGTATGGATACAATCGTCTTTCACGATGTCAGTTTTTCAAAACAACTTGTATTTGATACTCTTCCTTTTTGTTTCTGCCAGAATGTTTGAAGCTCATCCTCATCACTGTAACGCCAATCATAGGCATCTTCTTTGTGATACTAACCTAAACCTTCTCAGCGGCTCTTATTTCCTTTGCATAATAGTGTCCAGAACTGAATACAGTGCTCAACCCACAATCGTGCTAACTTTACATGTAATTGGCAATCAAATTCCTATGTGAAAAATACTGAATCATTTTTATGGCCTTTTGATATTCAATCCATTCGATTTATTCTCCAAGTTTTGTTAAATCCCTTATAATTATTTTGCTGTAATTCCTTTAGTGATTGTTTTTCGCCATTATACTTTCAACAAACTGCTCTCAATATTGAACTTCATTTCCACCTTTCTGCCAACTCAGCCGAACGCTCTGTAACTTTATGCCATTCCCCATGTTATTCATGACTGTGTCCTTTACCATATTATGTTATCATCAATATTTTTATGAATGGCACTGTGCCTATTTCAAAATGGTTAATATTACTGTAAAGCAATAGAGGAACCGGCACAAACGTCAGGTTACACCAACTGAAGGGATTGAGGATTAAGTGTAGCGTTTCATCCCTGAGCTTTATTGATTACCACCTTTGCTGCATGTGGCCATGTGAGACTGATTGGGGAAGGGATCAGAGACTGACACTCACTGTCAAGGTGATGTTTCCTATCTTAGAGAACAAAAACATGTATCATATTCTCAAAAACCTGCAGAATCACCTGAAGGAAAATGGTGACATTGAGTTTTAGTTGTTACAGCAATGTATAAAAGGGGAGAATCGGGTTTTCTGACTGCGTGGGTGTCCTTCTTGGTGAAGTGCCACAGCAATGCAGTTTTGTGTGCTTGTGTGTGGACCTGGGTGGATGTGAGTGTGGGGGTGGTGTTGTGGGGGGCCTGGGTGGATGTGAGTGTGGGGGTGGGGTTGTGGGGGGCCTGGGTGGATGTGAGTGTGGGGGTGGGGTTGTGGGGGGCCTGGGTGGATGTGAGTGTGGGGTGGGGTTGTGGGGGGCCTGGGTGGATGTGAGTGTGGGGGTGGGATTGTGGGGGGCCTGGGTGGATGTGAGTGTGGGGGTGGGGTTGTGGGGGGCCTGGGTGGATGTGTGTGTGGGGGTGGGGTTGTGGGGGGCCTGGGTGGATGTGAGTGTTTGTGAATGTGTGTGGGTCTGGGTGTGTGTGAGCCTCGGTGGATGTGAGTGTGTGTGAGTTTGTTTGAGTGTTTGACAGCCTGGGTGTGTGCGATTGTGTATGGGCCTGGGTGGAGGTGTGTGCGAATGTGTGTTGGTCTGGTGCGTGTGAGTGTGTGTAAGTGTGTGTAGCCTTGGGTGGATGTGAGTGTGTGTAAGTGTGTGTAGGCTTGGGTGGATGTGAGTGTGTGTAAGTGTGCGTGAATGTGAATGAGTGTCTTTGTTTTACAATGTACGAGTATGGGTGAGTGTGGTGTAAGTGAATATGTTGCTGCACCCAGATCTGTTGCTGTTCGTGAGAAGTATTTACCAGCAAATTTAGCAGAAAAGGCCATAATTTGCTTCTGAGATGTAGTTATGTGTGGAATGTGATATTATTTACTGAAAAATAAATCATCCTGGAATGAAACAGGTTGAGCTGTCCCACGCAATTCCACAACATGCTGTAAACAAAATCCATTCTGAGATTGGATTGTAACCGGTGTTTTGGGAATGTTCTAAAAACTTTTTTTTGGGTCAGCCAGCTGTGAAAATCCATCCCCATGCTTAAGAGTATCCAAACCAAACTGACTTAACTTGATACTAACATCGCTTCAAACAAAAGGTGCATCATTTCTCAATCTGGAAATTGTCTGTGTAATTAATTGGAAATCATCCCCTCCGTACCTGACTCATAAATACAACAATGATCTTTATTTGAGTTACTTTTTCATGACTCCAAACTGACAATGCAATGGTCGGGAGGCGGGTGCACAAAAAATAAGCAAAATGGTATTGAGAGACTCATTGACAGGCATTCGCGGTGTCCATCAGGACAAGGGAAATGTTTACAAAATTCGGTTTACCGCTGGATTTATTAACGGCTCTGGTCAGGGTCTTCAGTGGGAAAGTTTCATGTCCGACCACACAGGAGTAGGAAGAGCCTCTGTCCCAATCTCCGGCTGAGATGGATAACATGCTGTACGTGGAGTAATCTGCACTGTCTGCCATCAACTCAGTGTTCTTGTATTTGTTGGCATCAATCAACTGGTCATTCACAGTCCACTCCACAAAGATCTCTTTGGGAGCGAAGTTCTTCACCAGGCAACTGAGGGTGAGAGACTGCTGAGCAGACAATTCTTCTGCCGATGGGAGAAGCAGATACACTGAAGGTTGCTTCGTGTACTCAACTGTGGAAACAATAAAATCAAATCAATACACTGATGCCGTCAATCAGAGAAAACTTTCAAGTATAACAGCAACAAGTTTACATTTGTATAGCGCCTTTCGGGAGGACATCCCAAGGTGCTGGACAGTGTACAGCATTTCAGACCCGAGCTGGGGTTGGGGGAGAGGGGAGGGAGGGTGACCAACGCCATGGTTGAAGAGGAGGGTTTTGAGGCGGAACTTGAAGAAGGCTAAGAAGGGAGCGACGTGGAGTGATTGGGGGATGGAGTTACAGAGGTTGGGAGCAGAGTGGCTGAAGGCTCTCCCGCCAATGGTGGGTCGGGTAGATCGGGGGACGTCCAAGATACCGCAGAACAAGCTGAGAATAATTTAGTTTAGATGTGGCTTCCTTTTCTCCACGAAAACTGTTTAAATATCCTCCAAGTATAATGATTAGACTATATTTTGATATTTTACATGTGAGAGAATCTGCTTATAAAATTATATATCTATATATATTTTCTGGTCTTTGTGAGAGGGGAAAAATCTATCGACAGACTTGTAAAACTAAAACGGTTTATAATTGCTTTCACAGATGTTTCGGTTGCCTACATTATGGAATTACTATAAACAAATAAATCATTGATTTCCTGAACTTGGATGCTCACCGGGCTCCTTAAATATCTTTTTTCTGATGGGAGTCGGTATATCGTCATGGCTGACAATGCAGAAGTATACTTTCCCTCCGGTCCAGTCTTGTGTAGAAATGTTTAGTTTACTGATCACTTCCTGAGGTCCAGTGGCAGACGGTTTCCCATATCCAGACTGTAAATGTGTCTGTTCTTGTGTCCAAGTCACGTTGACGTCATGTGGTGCATTCGCCACGACACATGTCAGCGTTACAATGGGTTCCATCAAAACCTGTTTCGGTGAAGGCGGCAGGAAAGAGATCTTGACAGGTTCAGGAGGATCACAATCTAGAAAAGGAAAAGAAACTTGAAACCCAAATAACAGGCGATATCCAGGATTTCATATTTGTTCAAGTTAAACAATACTGTACATGAATATTCCCATTACTTTCTTTGAGTTACTTTTTCATGACTCCAAATTGACAATGCAATGGTCGGGAGGCGGGTGCACAAAAAATAAGCAAATTGGTATTGAGAGACTCATTGGCATTCACGGTGTCCATCAGGACAAGGGAAATGTTTACAAAACTCGGTTTACCGCTGGATTTATTAACGGCTCTGGTCAGGGTCTTCAGTGGGAAAGTTTCATGTCCGACCACACAGGAGTAGGAATAGCCTCTGTCCCAATCTCCGGCTGAGATGGATAACATGCTGTACGTGGAGTAATCTGCACTGTCTGCCATCAACTCAGTGTTCTTGTATTTGTTGGCATCAATCAACTGGTCATTCACAGTCCACTCCACAAAGATCTCTTTGGGAGCGAAGTTCTTCACCAGGCAACTGAGGGTGAGAGACTGCTGAGCAGACAATTCTTCTGCCGATGGGAGAAGCAGATACACTGAAGGTTGCTTCGTGTACTCAACTGTGGAAACAATAAAATCAAATCAATACACTGATGCCGTCAATCAGAGAAAACTTTCAAGTACAAGATACCGCAGAACAAGCTGAGAATAATGTGTGTCTGTTCAGTCTGTGCTCAGTGGTTTGTCATTATTATGACTGGGAACACTGGAGTGGATTGAAATTTCCCAACAGCACTTTATTATTTATACCCAGTGACCAGTGGTTTAGATGTGGCTTCCTTTTCTCCCCGAAAACTGTTTAAATATCCTCCAGGTATAATGATTAGACTATATTTTGATATTTTACATGTGAGAGAATCTGCTTATAAAATTATATCTATATACATTTTCTGGTCTTTGTGAGAGGGGACAAATCTATCGACAGACTTGTAAAACTAAGACAGTTTATAATTGTTTTCACAGATGTGTCGGTTGCCTGCATTATGGAATTACTATAAACAAATAAATCATTGATTTCCTGAACTTGGATGCTCACCGGGCTCCTTAAATATCTTTTTTCTGATGGGAGTCGGCATATCGTCATGGCTGACAATGCAGAAGTATACTTTCCCACTGGTCCAGTCTTGTGTAGAAATGTTTAGTTTACTGATCACTTCCTGAGGCCCAGTGGCAGACGGTTTCCCATATCCAGACTGTAAATGTGTCTGTTCTTGTGTCCAAGTCACGTTGACGTCATGTGGTGCATTCGCCACGACACATGTCAGCGTTACAATGGGTTCCATCAAAACCTGTTTCGGTGAAGGCGGCAGGAAAGAGATCTTGACAGGTTCAGGAGGATCACAATCTAGAAAAGGAAAGAAACTTGAAACCCAAATAACAGGCAATATCCAGGATTTCATATTTGTTCAAGTTAAACAATACTGTACATGAATATTCCCATTACTTTCTTTGAGTTACTTTTTCATGACTCCAAACTGACAATGCAATGGTCGGGAGGCGGGTGCACAAAAAATAAGCAAAATGGTATTGAGAGCCTCATTGACAGGCATTCACGGTGTCCATCAGGACAAGGGAAATGTTTACAAAACTCGGTTTACCGCTGGATTTATTAACGGCTCTGGTCAGGGTCTTCAGTGGGAAAGTTTCATGTCCGACCACACAGGAGTAGGAATAGCCTCTGTCCCAATCTCCGGCTGAGATGGATAACATGCTGTACGTGGAGTAATCTGCACTGTCTGCCATCAACTCAGTGTTCTTGTATTTGTTGGCATCAATCAACTGGTCATTCACAGTCCACTCCACAAAGATCTCTTTGGGAGCGAAGTTCTTCACCAGGCAACTGAGGGTGAGAGACTGCTGAGCAGACAATTCTTCTGCCGATGGGAGAAGCAGATACACTGAAGGTTGCTTCGTGTATGAAACTGTGGGAAGAAACAATCAAATCAATACACTGATGCCGTCAATCAGAGAAAACTTTCAAGTATAACAGCAACACGATTACATTAGTATAGCGCCTTTCGGGAGGACATCCCAAGGTGCTGGACAGTGTACAGCATTTCAGACCCGAGCTGGGGTTGGGGGGAGAGGGGAGGGGAGGGAGGGTGACCAACGCCATGGCTGAAGAGGAGGGTTTTGAGGCGGAACTTGAAGAAGGCTAAGAAGGGAGCGACGTGGAGTGATTGGGGGATGGAGTTACAGAGGTTGGGAGCAGAGTGGCTGAAGGCTCTCCCGCCAATGGTGGGTCGGGTAGATCGGGGGACGTCCAAGATACCGCAGAACAAGCTGAGAATAATGTGTGTCTGTTCAGTCTGTGCTCAGTGGTTTGTCATTATTATGACTGGGAACACTGGAGTGGATTGAAATTTCCCAACAGCACTTTATTATTTATACCCAGTGACCAGTGGTTTAGATGTGGCTTCCTTTTCTCCACGAAAACTGTTTAAATATCCTCCAGGTATAATGGTTAGACTATTTTTGATATTTTATATGTGAGAGAATCTGCTTATAAAATTATATCTATATATATTTTCTGGTCTTTGTGAGAGGGGACAAATCTATCGACAGACTTGTAAAACTAAGACAGTTTATAATTGTTTTCACAGATGTGTCGGTTGCCTGCATTATGGAATTACTATAAACAAATAAATCATTGATTTCCTGAACTTGGATGCTCACCGGGCTCCTTAAATATCTTTTTTCTGATGGGAGTCGGCATATCGTCATGGCTGACAATGCAGAAGTATACTTTCCCACCGGTCCAGTCTTGTGTAGAAATGTTTAGTTTACTGATCACTTCCTGAGGCCCAGTGGCAGACGGTTTCCCATATCCAGACTGCAAATGTGTCTGTTCTTGTGTCCAAGTCACGTTGACGTCATGTGGTGCATTCGCCACGACACATGTCAGCGTTACAATGGGTTCCATCAAAACCTGTTTCGGTGAAGGCGGCAGGAAAGAGATCTTGACAGGTTCAGGAGGATCACAATCTAGAAAAGGAAAAGAAACTTGAAACCCAAATAACAGGCAATATCCAGGATTTCATATTTGTTCAAGTTAAACAATACTGTACATGAATATTCCCATTACTTTCTTTGAGTTACTTTTTCATGACTCCAAACTGACAATGCAATGGTCGGGAGGCGGGTGCACAAAAAATAAGCAAAATGGTATTGAGAGCCTCATTGACAGGCATTCACGGTGTCCATCAGGACAAGGGAAATGTTTACAAAACTCGGTTTACCGCTGGATTTATTAACGGCTCTGGTCAGGGTCTTCAGTGGGAAAGTTTCATGTCCGACCACACAGGAGTAGGAATAGCCTCTGTCCCAATCTCCGGCTGAGATGGATAACATGCTGTACGTGGAGTAATCTGCACTGTCTGCCATCAACTCAGTGTTCTTGTATTTGTTGGCATCAATCAACTGGTCATTCACAGTCCACTCCACAAAGATCTCTTTGGGAGCGAAGTTCTTCACCAGGCAACTGAGGGTGAGAGACTGCTGAGCAGACAATTCTTCTGCCGATGGGAGAAGCAGATACACTGAAGGTTGCTTCGTGTATGAAACTGTGGGAAGAACACAATCAAATCAATACACTGATGCCGTCAATCAGAGAAAACTTTCAAGTATAACAGCAACACGATTACATTAGTATAGCGCCTTTCGGGAGGACATCCCAAGGTGCTGGACAGTGTACAGCATTTCAGACCCGAGCTGGGGTTGGGGGGGAGAGGGGGAGGGGAGGGAGGGTGACCAACGCCATGGCTGAAGAGGAGGGTTTTGAGGCGGAACTTGAAGAAGGCTAAGAAGGGAGCGACGTGGAGTGATTGGGGGATGGAGTTACAGAGGTTGGGGGCAGAGTGGCTGAAGGCTCTCCCGCCAATGGTGGGTCGGGTAGATCGGGGGACGTACAAGATACCGCAGAACAAGCTGAGAATAATGTGTGTCTGTTCAGTCTGTGCTCAGTGGTTTGTCATTATTATGACTGGGAACACTGGAGTGGATTGAAATTTCCCAACAGCACTTTATTATTTATACCCAGTGACCAGTGGTTTAGATGTGGCTTCCTTTTCTCCCCGAAAACTGTTTAAATATCCTCCAGGTATAATGATTAGACTATATTTTGATATTTTACATGTGAGAGAATCTGCTTATAAAATTATATCTATATACATTTTCTGGTCTTTGTGAGAGGGGACAAATCTATCGACAGACTTGTAAAACTAAGACAGTTTATAATTGTTTTCACAGATGTGTCGGTTGCCTGCATTATGGAATTACTATAAACAAATAAATCATTGATTTCCTGAACTTGGATGCTCACCGGGCTCCTTAAATATCTTTTTTCTGATGGGAGTCGGCATATCGTCATGGCTGACAATGCAGAAGTATACTTTCCCACTGGTCCAGTCTTGTGTAGAAATGTTTAGTTTACTGATCACTTCCTGAGGCCCAGTGGCAGACGGTTTCCCATATCCAGACTGTAAATGTGTCTGTTCTTGTGTCCAAGTCACGTTGACGTCATGTGGTGCATTCGCCACGACACATGTCAGCGTTACAATGGGTTCCATCAAAACCTGTTTCGGTGAAGGCGGCAGGAAAGAGATCTTGACAGGTTCAGGAGGATCACAATCTAGAAAAGGAAAAGAAACTTGAAACCCAAATAACAGGCAATATCCAGGATTTCATATTTGTTCAAGTTAAACAATACTGTACATGAATATTCCCATTACTTTCTTTGAGTTACTTTTTCATGACTCCAAACTGACAATGCAATGGTCGGGAGGCGGGTGCACAAAAAATAAGCAAAATGGTATTGAGAGCCTCATTGACAGGCATTCACGGTGTCCATCAGGACAAGGGAAATGTTTACAAAACTCGGTTTACCGCTGGATTTATTAACGGCTCTGGTCAGGGTCTTCAGTGGGAAAGTTTCATGTCCGACCACACAGGAGTAGGAATAGCCTCTGTCCCAATCTCCGGCTGAGATGGATAACATGCTGTACGTGGAGTAATCTGCACTGTCTGCCATCAACTCAGTGTTCTTGTATTTGTTGGCATCAATCAACTGGTCATTCACAGTCCACTCCACAAAGATCTCTTTGGGAGCGAAGTTCTTCACCAGGCAACTGAGGGTGAGAGACTGCTGAGCAGACAATTCTTCTGCCGATGGGAGAAGCAGATACACTGAAGGTTGCTTCGTGTATGAAACTGTGGGAAGAACACAATCAAATCAATACACTGATGCCGTCAATCAGAGAAAACTTTCAAGTATAACAGCAACACGATTACATTAGTATAGCGCCTTTCGGGAGGACATCCCAAGGTGCTGGACAGTGTACAGCATTTCAGACCCGAGCTGGGGTTGGGGGGAGAGGGGAGGGGAGGGAGGGTGACCAACGCCATGGCTGAAGAGGAGGGTTTTGAGGCGGAACTTGAAGAAGGCTAAGAAGGGAGCGACGTGGAGTGATTGGGGGATGGAGTTACAGAGGTTGGGGGCAGAGTGGCTGAAGGCTCTCCCGCCAATGGTGGGTCGGGTAGATCGGGGGACGTACAAGATACCGCAGAACAAGCTGAGAATAATGTGTGTCTGTTCAGTCTGTGCTCAGTGGTTTGTCATTATTATGACTGGGAACACTGGAGTGGATTGAAATTTCCCAACAGCACTTTATTATTTATACCCAGTGACCAGTGGTTTAGATGTGGCTTCCTTTTCTCCCCGAAAACTGTTTAAATATCCTCCAGGTATAATGATTAGACTATATTTTGATATTTTACATGTGAGAGAATCTGCTTATAAAATTATATCTATATACATTTTCTGGTCTTTGTGAGAGGGGACAAATCTATCGACAGACTTGTAAAACTAAGACAGTTTATAATTGTTTTCACAGATGTGTCGGTTGCCTGCATTATGGAATTACTATAAACAAATAAATCATTGATTTCCTGAACTTGGATGCTCACCGGGCTCCTTAAATATCTTTTTTCTGATGGGAGTCGGCATATCGTCATGGCTGACAATGCAGAAGTATACTTTCCCACTGGTCCAGTCTTGTGTAGAAATGTTTAGTTTACTGATCACTTCCTGAGGCCCAGTGGCAGACGGTTTCCCATATCCAGACTGTAAATGTGTCTGTTCTTGTGTCCAAGTCACGTTGACGTCATGTGGTGCATTCGCCACGACACATGTCAGCGTTACAATGGGTTCCATCAAAACCTGTTTCGGTGAAGGCGGCAGGAAAGAGATCTTGACAGGTTCAGGAGGATCACAATCTAGAAAAGGAAAAGAAACTTGAAACCCAAATAACAGGCAATATCCAGGATTTCATATTTGTTCAAGTTAAACAATACTGTACATGAATATTCCCATTACTTTCTTTGAGTTACTTTTTCATGACTCCAAACTGACAATGCAATGGTCGGGAGGCGGGTGCACAAAAAATAAGCAAAATGGTATTGAGAGCCTCATTGACAGGCATTCACGGTGTCCATCAGGACAAGGGAAATGTTTACAAAACTCGGTTTACCGCTGGATTTATTAACGGCTCTGGTCAGGGTCTTCAGTGGGAAAGTTTCATGTCCGACCACACAGGAGTAGGAATAGCCTCTGTCCCAATCTCCGGCTGAGATGGATAACATGCTGTACGTGGAGTAATCTGCACTGTCTGCCATCAACTCAGTGTTCTTGTATTTGTTGGCATCAATCAACTGGTCATTCACAGTCCACTCCACAAAGATCTCTTTGGGAGCGAAGTTCTTCACCAGGCAACTGAGGGTGAGAGACTGCTGAGCAGACAATTCTTCTGCCGATGGGAGAAGCAGATACACTGAAGGTTGCTTCGTGTATGAAACTGTGGGAAGAACACAATCAAATCAATACACTGATGCCGTCAATCAGAGAAAACTTTCAAGTATAACAGCAACACGATTACATTAGTATAGCGCCTTTCGGGAGGACATCCCAAGGTGCTGGACAGTGTACAGCATTTCAGACCCGAGCTGGGGTTGGGGGGAGAGGGGAGGGGAGGGAGGGTGACCAACGCCATGGCTGAAGAGGAGGGTTTTGAGGCGGAACTTGAAGAAGGCTAAGAAGGGAGCGACGTGGAGTGATTGGGGGATGGAGTTACAGAGGTTGGGGGCAGAGTGGCTGAAGGCTCTCCCGCCAATGGTGGGTCGGGTAGATCGGGGGACGTACAAGATACCGCAGAACAAGCTGAGAATAATGTGTGTCTGTTCAGTCTGTGCTCAGTGGTTTGTCATTATTATGACTGGGAACACTGGAGTGGATTGAAATTTCCCAACAGCACTTTATTATTTATACCCAGTGACCAGTGGTTTAGATGTGGCTTCCTTTTCTCCCCGAAAACTGTTTAAATATCCTCCAGGTATAATGATTAGACTATATTTTGATATTTTACATGTGAGAGAATCTGCTTATAAAATTATATCTATATACATTTTCTGGTCTTTGTGAGAGGGGACAAATCTATCGACAGACTTGTAAAACTAAGACAGTTTATAATTGTTTTCACAGATGTGTCGGTTGCCTGCATTATGGAATTACTATAAACAAATAAATCATTGATTTCCTGAACTTGGATGCTCACCGGGCTCCTTAAATATCTTTTTTCTGATGGGAGTCGGCATATCGTCATGGCTGACAATGCAGAAGTATACTTTCCCACTGGTCCAGTCTTGTGTAGAAATGTTTAGTTTACTGATCACTTCCTGAGGCCCAGTGGCAGACGGTTTCCCATATCCAGACTGTAAATGTGTCTGTTCTTGTGTCCAAGTCACGTTGACGTCATGTGGTGCATTCGCCACGACACATGTCAGCGTTACAATGGGTTCCATCAAAACCTGTTTCGGTGAAGGCGGCAGGAAAGAGATCTTGACAGGTTCAGGAGGATCACAATCTAGAAAAGGAAAAGAAACTTGAAACCCAAATAACAGGCAATATCCAGGATTTCATATTTGTTCAAGTTAAACAATACTGTACATGAATATTCCCATTACTTTCTTTGAGTTACTTTTTCATGACTCCAAACTGACAATGCAATGGTCGGGAGGCGGGTGCACAAAAAATAAGCAAAATGGTATTGAGAGCCTCATTGACAGGCATTCACGGTGTCCATCAGGACAAGGGAAATGTTTACAAAACTCGGTTTACCGCTGGATTTATTAACGGCTCTGGTCAGGGTCTTCAGTGGGAAAGTTTCATGTCCGACCACACAGGAGTAGGAATAGCCTCTGTCCCAATCTCCGGCTGAGATGGATAACATGCTGTACGTGGAGTAATCTGCACTGTCTGCCATCAACTCAGTGTTCTTGTATTTGTTGGCATCAATCAACTGGTCATTCACAGTCCACTCCACAAAGATCTCTTTGGGAGCGAAGTTCTTCACCAGGCAACTGAGGGTGAGAGACTGCTGAGCAGACAATTCTTCTGCCGATGGGAGAAGCAGATACACTGAAGGTTGCTTCGTGTATGAAACTGTGGGAAGAACACAATCAAATCAATACACTGATGCCGTCAATCAGAGAAAACTTTCAAGTATAACAGCAACACGATTACATTAGTATAGCGCCTTTCGGGAGGACATCCCAAGGTGCTGGACAGTGTACAGCATTTCAGACCCGAGCTGGGGTTGGGGGGAGAGGGGAGGGGAGGGAGGGTGACCAACGCCATGGCTGAAGAGGAGGGTTTTGAGGCGGAACTTGAAGAAGGCTAAGAAGGGAGCGACGTGGAGTGATTGGGGGATGGAGTTACAGAGGTTGGGGCAGAGTGGCTGAAGGCTCTCCCGCCAATGGTGGGTCGGGTAGATCGGGGGACGTACAAGATACCGCAGAACAAGCTGAGAATAATGTGTGTCTGTTCAGTCTGTGCTCAGTGGTTTGTCATTATTATGACTGGGAACACTGGAGTGGATTGAAATTTCCCAACAGCACTTTATTATTTATACCCAGTGACCAGTGGTTTAGATGTGGCTTCCTTTTCTCCCGAAAACTGTTTAAATATCCTCCAGGTATAATGATTAGACTATATTTTGATATTTTACATGTGAGAGAATCTGCTTATAAAATTATATCTATATACATTTTCTGGTCTTTGTGAGAGGGGACAAATCTATCGACAGACTTGTAAAACTAAGACAGTTTATAATTGTTTTCACAGATGTGTCGGTTGCCTGCATTATGGAATTACTATAAACAAATAAATCATTGATTTCCTGAACTTGGATGCTCACCGGGCTCCTTAAATATCTTTTTTCTGATGGGAGTCGGCATATCGTCATGGCTGACAATGCAGAAGTATACTTTCCCACTGGTCCAGTCTTGTGTAGAAATGTTTAGTTTACTGATCACTTCCTGAGGCCCAGTGGCAGACGGTTTCCCATATCCAGACTGTAAATGTGTCTGTTCTTGTGTCCAAGTCACGTTGACGTCATGTGGTGCATTCGCCACGACACATGTCAGCGTTACAATGGGTTCCATCAAAACCTGTTTCGGTGAAGGCGGCAGGAAAGAGATCTTGACAGGTTCAGGAGGATCACAATCTAGAAAAGGAAAAGAAACTTGAAACCCAAATAACAGGCAATATCCAGGATTTCATATTTGTTCAAGTTAAACAATACTGTACATGAATATTCCCATTACTTTCTTTGAGTTACTTTTTCATGACTCCAAACTGACAATGCAATGGTCGGGAGGCGGGTGCACAAAAAATAAGCAAAATGGTATTGAGAGCCTCATTGACAGGCATTCACGGTGTCCATCAGGACAAGGGAAATGTTTACAAAACTCGGTTTACCGCTGGATTTATTAACGGCTCTGGTCAGGGTCTTCAGTGGGAAAGTTTCATGTCCGACCACACAGGAGTAGGAATAGCCTCTGTCCCAATCTCCGGCTGAGATGGATAACATGCTGTACGTGGAGTAATCTGCACTGTCTGCCATCAACTCAGTGTTCTTGTATTTGTTGGCATCAATCAACTGGTCATTCACAGTCCACTCCACAAAGATCTCTTTGGGAGCGAAGTTCTTCACCAGGCAACTGAGGGTGAGAGACTGCTGAGCAGACAATTCTTCTGCCGATGGGAGAAGCAGATACACTGAAGGTTGCTTCGTGTATGAAACTGTGGGAAGAACACAATCAAATCAATACACTGATGCCGTCAATCAGAGAAAACTTTCAAGTATAACAGCAACACGATTACATTAGTATAGCGCCTTTCGGGAGGACATCCCAAGGTGCTGGACAGTGTACAGCATTTCAGACCCGAGCTGGGGTTGGGGGGAGAGGGGAGGGGAGGGAGGGTGACCAACGCCATGGCTG